GAGTTCCATCATTTGCTATTTTGCCCAGTTCTCCAACTCTATTTAGCTCTGTAATGAAGTTCTCGTCCTGCGTCATCGGTATGCCATGAACTTCTAGATTCAAACGCCTGCTTTGGAATTTTAGGTCAGTGATTTCATTCTGGAGTTCCATCATTTGCTATTTTGCCCAGTTCTCCAACTCTATTTAGCTCTGTAATGAAGTTCTCGTCCTGCGTCATCGGTATGCCATGAACTTCTAGATTCAAACGCCTGCTTTGGAATTTTAGGTCAGTGATTTCTTTCTGGAGTTCCATCATTTGCTATTTTGCCCAGTTCTCCAACTCTATTTAGCTCTGTAATGAAGTTCTCGTCCTGCGTCATCGGTATGCCATGAACTTCTAGATTCAAACGCCTGCTTTGGAATTTTAGGTCAGTGATTTCTTTCTGGAGTTCCATCATTTGCTATTTTGCCCAGTTCTCCAACTCTATTTAGCTCTGTAATGAAGTTCTCGTCCTGCGTCATCGGTATGCCATGAACTTCTAGATTCAAAAGCCTGCTTTGGAATTTTAGGTCAGTGATTTCTTTCTGGAGTTCCATCATTTGCTATTTTGCCCAGTTCTCCAACTCTATTTAGCTCTGTAATGAAGTTCTCGTCCTGCGTCATCGGTATGCCATGAACTTCTAGATTCAAACGCCTGCTTTGGAATTTTAGGTCAGTGATTTCTTTCTGGAGTTCCATCATTTGCTATTTTGCCCAGTTCTCCAACTCTATTTAGCTCTGTAATGAAGTTCTCGTCCTGCGTCATCGGTATGCCATGAACTTCTAGATTCAAACGCCTGCTTTGGAATTTTAGGTCAGTGATTTCTTTCTGGAGTTCCATCATTTGCTATTTTGCCCAGTTCTCCAACTCTATTTAGCTCTGTAATGAAGTTCTCGTCCTGCGTCATCGGTATGCCATGAACTTCTAGATTCAAACGCCTGCTTTGGAATTTTAGGTCAGTGATTTCTTTCTGGAGTTCCATCATTTGCTATTTTGCCCAGTTCTCCAACTCTATTTAGCTCTGTAATGAAGTTCTCGTCCTGCGTCATCGGTATGCCATGAACTTCTAGATTCAAACGCCTGCTTTGGAATTTTAGGTCAGTGATTTCTTTTTGGAGTTCCATCATTTGCTATTTTGCCCAGTTCTCCAACTCTATTTAGCTCTGTAATGAAGTTCTCGTCCTGCGTCATCGGTATGCCATGAACTTCTAGATTCAAACGCCTGCTTTGGAATTTTAGGTCAGTGATTTCTTTCTGGAGTTCCATCATTTGCTAGTTTGCCCAGTTCTCCAACTCTATTTCGCTCTGTAATGAAGTTCTCGTCCTGCGTCATCGGTATGCCATGAACTTCTAGATTCAAACGCCTGCTTTGGAATTTTAGGTCAGTGATTTCTTTCTGGAGTTCCATCATTTGCTATTTTGCCCAGTTCTCCAACTCTATTTAGCTCTGTAATGAAGTTCTCGTCCTGCGTCATCGGTATGCCATGAACTTCTAGATTCAAACGCCTGCTTTGGAATTTTAGGTCAGTGATTTCTTTCTGGAGTTCCATCATTTGCTATTTTGCCCAGTTCTCCAACTCTATTTAGCTCTGTAATGAAGTTCTCGTCCTGCGTCATCGGTACGCCATGAACTTCTAGATTCAAACGCCTGCTTTGGAATTTTAGGTCAGTGATTTCTTTCTGGAGTTACATCATTCGCTATTTTGTTCAGTTTTTTTTTTCTCCTCAAAGTCTGTCACCCTCTGTTTCAGATCTTTGATTTCAGTTTTCTAGAGTTTGATTTGCTTTTCGAACCCGTCAAATTGCTTCAGCGAAAACAGAACAGACAATTCCATACTGTCCACTTTAGGCAGAGGGAGACTGTCCAGCCTCTGATTGATGGCTGTAAGTAAAGATTTCACATCAAGCTCAGGTTGCTCATCCCCACTGTTACGTGATCCGGCGCCTCTGCAAGCAGGACATCGCCATGTCAACTTTGCCGCTTCACTTTTCTCATTAAAGAATTTCTTTTTTTTACACCGACACACCGGCCGCAATGATACCTCCATGCAAACTCGCTACATTCTACCGGCCCGTCCTACTCAAGGAACGGTGCCGCACAGGATAAACAGGTGTCGGACGTCGTTCGCACAGCACGAGGATACGCAATATAAGACTCTTACTGCAGTCTCAGTGGCAGCGGCAGCAGCGACAGCATGGATTCAGTCAAAATAGAAAGAATAAAAGAGGTTACCAACCTGGCAATAGACGTTGTTCGGTAAGCCGTGTTGACAAGACGCTGTCGCCATTCCCAGAAGACCGCAGCACGGAGAGAAACCGCCACTTATCTGGCCTCGGCGCCCAAAAACTGCGCTTGCGCAGAAAGAGTTTGTCACAGATTCCAGGCTCGCAGAAACTGTAGCGCGAGGCCAAGGATGACGGGGCAGCAGATGGTCGTCGAAATCAATCGCCACGAGACCACAGCAGTGCCGACGAAAGCAGAGGATAGCGAAAGCGGGCACGAATTCCAAGTGGGCAACTGCAATAGACGTTTTGTTCGGTTGGCAGTGTTGACAAGACGCTGCCGCCATTGCCAAAAAAAAAAGGTCCGAACCAAATTTCAAAGTTTCGCCTTTAACCGTTATCTTATTCAAAAGACACGTGACCTGAAATTTTTAATGGGAGAAGGGAGCCCAATTTTGCCCCTTTTCGGTTGCTGTCGCCGTGCACCTCCATGTATTCGAGAGCTCGATCGGCTACCATTTTGCCATTGAAAATTTTAGAAATTCTCAGAAATTTTATATAAGATAACGGTTAGTGTTGAAACTTCGCCATCTGGTTTCTGACCCTCTAGCGCTACATTCGGGCAGGTAATGAGCGTTCGGCGATGCATCGTTTATTTTTGCGGTAAAAAAGAACACTTAAATTTGTATTATTAATATTAGTTTACACCCTGTACTTCATACATTGTATATACCTTTCTATTGACTATTTGACGAACGGCGTACTAAGTAAAAATCGCAGTAGGCGATAGCTGCAACTGTTCTCTTTTGAACATTTAGAAACGCAATAAAATTAGTATTGTTTGAATCTGTATCTGGCGCCATTATATTCGCCCCCTAGAAATTGGAGGGTTCCAACACACGCACGCAACATGTGTACTTCAATTATGACGCTATCGCACTACGACGGAGCGGGCTTGAATTTGATACATGTGCTGCCTCAACATTTTCCAGGGCAAACGTTCGTAACCTGCGCTTTAAGAAAGAAAATATATATCGGTTAAGATTTTTGCAAAGCACGAAGACAGTCACTCATGGCGAACGATAAAAAGATCCAAGCAATTGAAGAAGCTCAGAGTACAATCAGACCGAAAAAAAACGCGATGTACGACCGGTAAATAAGCGAATGAGACGTCATGCACAGTGTCCTGCGCACATAGTGTTTCATTCTCTCTTTTTTGTCGAATTTTAAAGAAGCACTGACAGATCAAAATAATATTGTCTTTTTATTATCCGAAACGATTGAAAACGAGGCCAGGACACCATCCTCGAGATTCTGAACTGGCGAACTAGGTATTTGCGAAGTAAAAAAACAATTTCTAAAAGTCGGATTTAAAGTTCCCGCGTAATCCGCGCCAGTGAATTGACGTCAAGGATTGAGTCGTCCTTCAACTCGAGTCTCTCACGCCTCCAAACCCTGGCGACCCGAAGTGTCGTGTTCGTTCGCGTCCTGCGATCAACCAGTTCTTTACGCGTGCCGTCAATCGCTGTGAGCAGACGGCGCTTCACTTTCAAGTTGGGAGTTATATTAGGGCCCTTTCAGGGCGATCTCAAGTTATTTTAAAGGGCGTAGGTCGAAGAGAACGCTCAGTGGACATTTGTGAGCAACGTGAAAGGCCACGTCGCACCGGTTCTGCGTGGAAGCTGCCCCGGCATAGTCACAACCGAAAGTGCGGTACACAGACACCAAACCCCTTTGTTTTGACCGTTACGCGATTTCTTTTTCGAAGTCTGAGAGACAGTCTGACACATAAAAAAAGAAATTCGTTCAATTCCCCGACTTACCGATCGTTCTCAGTGCTACGTGTGCCGAGCGCTACCATGTTTTCCTAGGCGAGGATAAAAGGTCAGAAATGACATCATTCCGAACTTCAACTTTCAGTATTTCAAAAAAAAGCGCTGTGTTCCGTTCGCAATTGCGTTAAAAAAAAAGAGAGATGTTTTACGATTGCAGTTTTTTTTTTTAATATTATAGAAACGTCGCTTACAAAGCTTCTAAATTTCATGAAATATTACGTCACAAATAAAAAGAAGCAAAGACGTCAGAAAAAAAAAGAAAAGGGCACAAAAAAATTAAAAGAGCGCGCGGACCTAAAAAAAATGTTTTTCGCGTTGCTGTTTTTGTTGTTGTTGCTGTTTTCCTCTCTGTGGGTACAATTTGCATCGTTTTAGACAACAAATAAATCGACCTTTGGGGTGACAGAGCCCCTTTAAGTTTTGTTATTTACTGGGATCCTCATATTGTTCACCGTGATTGACTGTCTCCGTGTTCTGCAAAAACAATTAGCTCACAAACATTTTCTTTAGTGCATGGAACTTACTTCTTATTACAGCGTTGGGAAACGCTCGGCTTCCTACTCCGCCCCGATAGCTGCGCCATCGCTGTCGTAGAGTGATGACGTCTCTCGAAGAACAGCAGACATTCATCTATAGGGCGAGCAAGTGTTTTGAAACGTGCTTTGGCGCATCGCACCGCGAGGAGACAGATACACCAATCAAAGGACTAGATAACGTAAAAAACGCGCAAAGAACGCGCGATGACGAAGCAGCAGAGCGCGCAACGTCATTGGTCGGGGTCGGGGGAAGAAACAGAAAGCACGTCCGGCAAATTAGAGAGGTAAACAAATGCGCGAGGTTCGCAAGAAGCAGACGAACTTGCACCCCGTATAGTCACTGAAAGCTTTAAACGCGCAAGGTGCGGCTTATATATGCTCCCGTTTCTAACTTCGTGATTCGTTCTTCGGCGCTCTTGTCGGTAAACACCGCAATGCCATAAGCTGTGGAGCGATAATGAGATGCCCGGAAGTCGCCACTCTCCTAGTTTCTCGAGTTCTAGGTGAGCACAGCCACGGTGTGGATCGTGATTCCCTCGCTATCTGCTAGATGGCGACTACGTCGCACGGACGCGCTCTTCCAGCCGAACCGCACACAACGATGCAGGCGCGAATTACATATGAATTGAAAACAAAACAGAAAACAGACACACACATCTACCACGAGCATGAAAAGCTGTATTCCAATTTTCATAATAACGTGATACGTCGAATTGTGGAACATACATGAGCGAAAAACGACAAGACGTAAATTTTAGCGCATCCATTCAAAATTCCAAATAAAATGCATGCTTATATGGCGGTCCATAAGGACCGGAGAACAACACACGTACTCCACGCATTCCTTTTGGTTGGCCGTGCCAGGCTTAAAAGCGAAACTAGAGAGCTCTGGCACGGCCATTCCATTTTCTCGTTCTCGCCGCTCTCGGAAGTGAAATTGCGCTGAGGGCGTTCATGGAGTAGAAGCCCTTCACAAACATTTAAGCTCACGCTTGCAGTTTCTGTTCAGGGTGCCGAGAAAATTGAAACACCGAAATCGGTAAAACTGAAGAAACTGCAGAATAAGCCCTATACATTGCGAACGAGTCTTCTAAATACGATCTTCGTTAACGCTAGTACTAATTTAAATCGATTGATGGCCATTGGCAGTTTTGTAGCCTAAAGTCATAATTTCTAACATACAGTGCATCTCTGTTCATTCCAAAAATTACCTAAAAGCTAGAAAAAAAACGCAGCTAAAAACAACGTGATTAACCAGCATGGTTAAAATTTAAGGGCTTAGCATGACACACCGGGCGACAATTCAGCATCGAAGAGTTTGAATTCCAAAGGGGCGACAAAAGTAAGATCCACTATCTGACTAGATCCAATGTTCCGAGTTCAAATTACGTGACAGCATAGAAGGCAGCTAACGCAAGGGCCATCACCATGACCGCGCTCCGAAGCGGCCGGGCAGCGGACCCGGACACGTGCACATCATACACCACAACGGCGCCGTCAGACTCAAACCGCACTACAGCGTCCGTCCCAGCACCCACGGACCACAGGCGAGTCATCAGCGGCGTCTGAGATGAGGACACGTTGTCGTCGGAGCAGCGGAAGTTCCAGAAACGTGCTGTCACGTTGTCTGCCTTGTTGAGTACCGCGTAGAAGCACTGACCCTCCAGGGTGAGATGGTGTTCACCGAGCACGACTGTGAGACTCCGCGCTTGTGTGAGGTCCACCTTGCTCTCCAACGTCTCCCACCTGCTGGGCAGTTTCACCGACGCCCAGGTGCCCCTCAGGAACACGGCCCGCTTTCCAGCGAGGGGCCTTGTCTGGCAGGACGGCTCCAGCGACAACCTCCACTCTGGCAGGTCGTCTGCTTGAGGTCTGTAAGACACCTTGCTCCTGGCCGCCTTGAAATCCGCGTCTTGTTGTCCCGGGAGGTCGTAATAGACGGAGGACCAAGGGAGCTCCTGGCGGAGTCTGACGAGACCCTCCGTGGCCCAAGGGTCGTTGTCCGACGCCCAAACGGTCAGTGTCGAGTTCCGTGTGACGTCCAGGAGCCATGAGAGCTGAGGGATGGACGTGGCAACTAGAGACGCCCGCACGGGAAAGGTTGTCCTGGGCGGCAAGGGAGCCTCGCAGAGCAAGAGGCGTGCCATGGCTTCTACTTGGCCCCAGGTGTACGTGGACTGCGGCAGCGTGGTCCAGCCCGGGGAGATGACGGCCCAAGGAAACCGGGTCGAGCACATGTGCACGAACCGGCGTCCGTCCACGAGTGGGGCCCCGCCGGCGCCTTGCACTACGTCCGCATTTAGCCACAGGTCTTGTAGGTTCTGCGTAAGAGTGTACCTCTTCATTCGAAAAAACAAAACTCTTCTGAAATTAGCATGTCCACTCCTCTATCGTAGACACATTAGTTGTGCCGAAGAAACGAACCAAGTTTTCAAATCACAAACTGCTAATGCTTAAAGGGGAGGTACAGCGATAGTCAGTTGGAATCTTGTTCAATCTGCACGAGCTTAATGAAACTATTGGGACTTAAGTATACTCGCACGCCACGCCACTGACCAAGAAGCTTTTTATATAACGTTTAATTTCAAGAACACAAGCAGGTGTTTTTCTTCTATTTCTCTTTCGCGCAACTTGATGACGTAGCACCGAGGTCGCATTCAGCGTGTGCCTAGCCCACAAAGTGACGATATTTAAGTGCGGCTCATAGGTTGGTGACCTATGATGGCTCGGGTCCAATTGCTGTAATGATGACAATAGCCGAACCCTAACAATATCTGGAATTCAGCACGTGTCCTGTGCTTTGCCAACCCCAGCGCGTGGCTATGCTAAACACTATACTCTGTCACATCCTACGAAGGACTAAAGGCCAAAGCCACGGGCCGCCATGTCCAATCACGTTTAACGCTAATCTATGGCAAGCTTAGCACTGAATAGGGGTGGACAAATAATGCTCCGAACCCAAAAGCACTGCATCATTTCAATAGCTTCGACACTGCAAAGAGCACGTATGTCGTGGCATTCTTTGCAATGTAAAATTCTTGATTTACTCAGTGCTATTCGAATCGAACCACTGTCCGCCCATCCCCTTCAGTGAACCGAAAAGCGGGCACCGATACATGCATCGAAGCGAAATACCACACAATTTCTAAGTGGCTCGTGATTGCATCTGGGGGTTCGTGGCTTTTGCCTTTAGTCAATAGCACGGTGAGACGAAGTACAGCGGCTTATAATCGGCTCTCTATCACGTAACCACTTGTCCTGGCTGCGAGCTAAGGGGGTGAACGTTCCTCATTTTTCTTACATTTTTCCTGCGACTACCATCGCGCGGGGATAACACTAACCCGTGCTTGCTTTATACGTTATAAACGTCGTAATCGATTGCAGTGTATCCGCTCCTGTAGAGCATTATGTGTCATCTAAGTGTGCACGCTTGTAACTTTAACGAAATTGTGCAAGGCAGGATAGCACACTTTGGATTGATTTATGCTAAGTATTGTATTATAAAAACGTATATTAATTTGAAGGATCCCTGATCAATATTTATAGAAGCAAAATGCTATGGTGCATGTGATTCCGAATGTAAATTAATATTTCTTTAAAGTAATCCAGGTTCGTGTGTAACACGGGTGGTTTCCATTTTAGCCCTTTGTGTCATTTCAACTGACCTTTCGTACCTTCCAGTGTCAACTCAATTGAGACAAGTTTTTTTTTTACATACATTTTTTCAAGATGTCTTTTTACTTAAACAACTTTCACATTTCTATGCTACTGTTTTTTTACTACAAAAAAAACGCTGCATCCTAAACATTCTATCGTTGACTTTTTTTTCACGGTGACCTACTAAGTTTTAAATTAAATTTTTCCAGAATCCTAGCTCATGTTTGCTTTCTGCACTGCTCAAAAATGGCATAGCGTTTTTCGTTGACGCCAGTGTAGATGCGTCAAGCCGTGACTTTGAAAGATTGAGAAAAGAAGAGTGGTTCCTCTTAAATGGGTTCTCGGTCCAGAAGAAAACAACCACTGCAAGCGGGAGCCATTGCGCTGCTGTGCACTTCCTATTGCACATCCTGCTGGAAGTGTATCCGTTCAACCGTGAAAAATACGCGGAAACCGCAGATGATCGAATAACAGCAATATAAAGCACTTGATCTATGAAAGTGGGTCTATGGAACAATCGCAACACTCGGGCATTCGTGGTGCAATGTGCTGGCAACGGAACAGGAGTGGGACACTGTTGTTGACTATATTCACTCATTCACGCCAATCTATCGGCCACTACAACATCCCTGGAGTGATACGCCAAATGATATATGCAAGTGGCAATACCAAGCGCCATGATCCTACACTGTTATAGCGTATTTTTATGATTTCATCTTTGCAGAGTTTGGTGTAAAAACAAATGTCTGCATTTAAGGATATTAAAAGGTGATAAGTGTGAGGTGTTATGATGTTATGATACGTGCTGTGTCATGTTTCATGCTTTTTTTATCATCGCATGGTATTTGTTGTTTTCTTGACCTTTATGCAGTGCTATCCCGTGTGCATTGTTATGTTTATGCATTTCATATTGTTGTTTACGTTTCGCAAGGTTTCCCCACTCTGCCTTCGTATGTGCCACGCTGAGTGATATGCGGGGGGGGGGGGTCGGGTCGTCTACGCTTTGTCAGGCATTTTTAATTGCCTTTGGCGACGGCCCCCTAGACAACTGTTTGATGTACTTGTCTCAATAAAAACATTGAATTGAACATTGAATTGAATAAATCAGGGTGTCGAACCGGAACCGAACCGAACCGAAAACCGGAACCGAACCGGTATTTTTTCCGGAACTGAACCCGAACCCGAACCGTTATATTGTTATCGCGATGAACCCGAACCGGAACTGAACCGGAAAAAAATAACGGTTACCGGCTCATGTCAAAGCGCTGTTGACAGTGAATGAGCTATCAATGCCATTCGTTTTTTAAGTGCCGTCAACTGACGCACACCTCGCTTACATATTTTTCTTCTCAACTCAGTCTTAGGAATATAAACGCTGCATTCATGAATCTTGACATAGGAACCAGTACTGCGCTGGTCGCGGCTTGCACGGAAGAAAAAAATTGGAAAGCTGTGCAAAAAAAAAAAAAATTCGCGTCACGGGATTTCATTTTCCTACAATCTCGTAAATCCTAAATGCTGCTGCGTGCTCATTTCATAACACGTTTCTAGAACGCGCGAGTTCTTGAAGCTTGCTTCCATCGGAATGAGAAAAGAAAAGGCTGTGGAGTTTGATAATAATGTATCCGGTTTCGTATAGGCACTTAGAAGCTAACATATTTGTGAGACAGCGAACTCTTCTATTTTAATATTTATCCTATTACGTCCTTCTGGCGTTGCGTTCGGGGTAGTATTTTTCATATTCCGTATCTTGTTTAATGAAAACTTCTTTAAGGGTCTAATTTGAGTTACCGAAGGCTAGTTCAAATAAAGAAAGCTGTATTTTCTCCCCACTGTTCCTTCAATTGCTTAGACGCCGAGGTGGCGGGATAGTTAGCAAGTTCTACTTGTAAGTGGGTTTGTAAGGAGGTCGCGGATTTTACAGCTACTCCGTCGGACCCAATTAGATGAAGTCCGAATGCGTAAACGTCGGTGAGGTAACCTTTGAGTGCACATAAAGAAACCATTCCTGGTAGAAATCCCTGAGCCTTAAACTACGATGTATCCCGTTTCGTATGTGCTGATTTCAGATGTTTTATTTGTAATTTATTTTGATGTTGCAATTTGTCATTTATAATTTCTGAACCGGTTCGCGAACCGGTTCAGCGCCCCGAACCGGTTCGCGAACCGGTTCGCGGATCGAATTAATCAAACCGGAACTGAACCGGAACAAAATAAATTTAACTGAACCTGAACCGTAACCGAACCCGTATTTTTTTCGGTTCGACACTCTGGAATAAATAAAAGATGAAGAACCATCTTCGTAGTCTACAGGTGAGACATAACAAATAATCAAGAGGCTGGCATTTTGCGAAAGACTGGTCAGAAAATCACGTGGAGGATGATTCCTCAACACTCAATAGGATTTTTTCCTTTCTGCATATAAAACTCCAGCGGCTTTCAGTGGCAAGTAATGCCGAAAGTGGTTTCTGGCAAAAATTATTAATAGATTAATAGAGACGCACAGCGATGAACAGTGTCCATGAGCAAGCGCCTATCAGCTATTCATTCTCTACAGTGATGTTTGGCACTAGAACTTAGCTCAGTGTCATACAAAAGATTCTCATCAGCAGTGGCCTAGTTGTCAACAGTATCGCCATGTATTGTTGTTTAAATTCGCGAGACACGTGCCATGTGTCACTTCAAGGAAGAAAGCGGCGCCTTGACAGCGCAGTACCACCCCGCACCGCGACGATCTTCCCAATAATAAGTCTTGGATAGTACCTCGTTACTCTATATCTTTGTTACCTTTTGTAACGTTTCAACACTAACGTGTTGTTGTTTTTTTGGAAATATAACTTGCAACTGTATTTCTACTACTGTTTTCGAAGTCACAATGAAAGTTAACGATGCTACTTTTGACGTTACTTGTCATAGTTCCTTGAGGAGGAAAATTTAACTGAACAATTATACAACGAAGCCTTTCTTTGTCTTTGAAAATTATGTTCTGACATTTGCAGTGTCATATTCGACCTTCACCTACTTGTGAACGTCATTTGTGATGAGTCACAACCCGACTATACTCACGTGTGACTGTGATGAGGAGAAAGGAGGCACGGAGGTGGTGGGGGGGAGGTGGGGGCGACGGTTTCTAATCTCCTTGAGTTTGTTTTATGCAAAAGTAACAAAGTAACGCCGTTGTTCCTAAAGTAATCATAAATGTAACACGGTGTTGTTGTTGTTTTTTTACTAAATGTACGACTTATTTTTTGCTTTGGTAATTGTAACAGTAGCTTCGCCATCATTCTGTGTAGGCATCTGTAACTATAACAACTTAATTGTTGAAAGCAACTTACCAAGACAACCAAAAATTCATGAGGAAGGCGTTCTTTCACTGGGGCACCTGGGAATTTAGCGTTGTCAGGTATCGTTCGTTTTTATTCTATGCCCCACTAAGACAAGTCCGCCACTTACAATTGGGCAGAGCAGTACAGCCGAATCTTACGAGGTTTCGAAACCGCCCACCTATAAATCGACTCATTAAACTTTAAATTATCAAACAATCACTCAGCGGCTGCAATGCAAGGGATGCTAACTGGTTGTGCTTAAAAGCCTCACACGCACATAACGTCTGTACAGCTGCAGAACACGGAAAACACTGCGTCTGGCAGGCATTATAGCTGCAAGCTAAGAAAAAAATTATTTTTTGTTTTTGCTTTTGGAAAGAGGAATATCTGACTGGCAAGGGAGCAAATGACAAGACAAAAAGAGAAATAATAAAGGTGTTTATCAGGAATGCTGGAGACAAGTGCGTCCTTCGGTGTCCTATTTTCTTGGTGATTTTATCTGATTAGAGTGACACGTGGTAGATAAATATTTTTTACGTCATATTGTTATTTTATTTTTTACTTATGTGTCTTTCTTCGCCACATGCCATGGTATGCATATTTCTTAGTTCAATGGTGCAATCAACTTAGTTGGAAGTCAGCGCCAGTCCTGTCATATGTGCACCTCTCGGTCCTTGTTCAGTTTGTGCTATTTTATTAATGTCACGTATTTTCAAAATTGACAGATGAATAAAATAAAAATGCTACGTTAGTTCGTCTTTCATTGGGTCTAACAATTATGTTGGGCCTGTTCTTAGACGCGAAGTTCTTTCATTTTTATGTCGTAACCTGTTCTCAGACGCGAAGTTGAAATTGGCTTGTACTGGTATTTCACTTTATGTGCTAGGGAAGCCAAAGCTAGAAGCACGACCGCACTTCCCTGAACAATGATCGGGCTGCACGTGCTCGGCAGGAACGCTAAAAACCAGGAACCCACACAAGCGCTGTTGAGCATTTGCCTATCACTATCTGACTTTGTCTTTAGCGTTGTTAGCTGTTAATAGAAGTTAAAATAAAGCAACCGCTAGCAGTTGCTAGAGAAAATCTTCAGGCTGCCATAAACTTTCAAAGTTCAGGGTTATCAAGTGAACCGGTCTGTAGGCCCCTTCCTAAAGTCACCTGCCGATTATTAGAAGGTCGGAACCCCTGCACAATGGCGGAGCAATTACATCGGGAAACGAGCAAGTCATTCCATAAGGTCGGAGCGCGGCCAACTCTACGAGCAGACGAGCCAATCAAACTGCATAGAAAGTGCATGTCACTCCGTCCATCCCCTTTTTCTGTGGGTGTGCTTTTTTTTCCCCCAACGGTGCCGTGACGTTGAGGTTTTAGTCCACCATTGTGCAGGGATTTCCCAGCTGCCATCCGAGGGCAATATTTCGAAAGAGGTCTATTGAATCCTTCGATGTCTACAGAAAGCCAATAGTTAATTTAAACGTCTTGAAAGCTATTATAATTTTTTAAGTACCATGCTTATGTTTGGTTTCACCCAGGAACATCCAACGGCCAGCATGTTATTATGCAAACACCAAAAAAAAAAAATCAAGTGTCTTACGTGGTTCTACTGAGATAAGCTATGAGTCACGCTTACGGTTTTAAATAAAGCACCAGATGTGCTTGACTTAATAGCGAGTTTTAGAATAGGGGGCTCCGCAGCTTTTGTTGCCCTAAAAAGCTTGGGGCGTTCAATTGCGCATGTGCAGAACTTCTGCGCATGCGCAGTTGGTCTCCCCAATCTGTTTGGGGAACCCAAAGTTGTGGGTTCCCCAAACTATTCTAAAACCCGCTATTATAGCGAGAGATAACTCCCCCAAAATCGACAGCAAATTGGCTGAAAATGAGGAGTCAACTAACCTTCAAGGTAGTACAAAGAAAATAGTTTAAAATATTGTAACGAAATAACGTGAAAGTATGTTTGTTTGTGCTACGCTCATTCACTTTCAAATCCCTCAAACGAGCAGTCGCCATCACTGTCAAACAAAATGTCGACCATTTTGTCACATACAGGTCCTGCGATTTTTCAAACTGGTTATCGCAGCGAGAAACTTTAGACACCTTTACGAATACTGCCCTCTGTTAACAGCAGTAGAATCACTTACAATGGCCGACTCAAACTCTCAACGTCATTGCACACTGCAAAAAAAACACCCACAGAAGAGGCTAATGAGGTTGTGGCGTTGCACTTTCTACGCTGTTTGATTGGCTCGTAGCATGGCAGTGTTGGCCGCGGTCCGACGTTCGCTTACTTATAGAATGATTTACTCGTTCCTCGATGCAGTTGTTCCAACATTGTGCAGGGGTTCCGACCTTCTAATAATCGGCACCTGAATTTCGAAAGGGGTTTATGAACCAAAGGTGACTGTCTTTCGCTGTGAGCATTGCTTGGTTGTCTCCTGCCGCAGCTAACCAACTTCGCTTCCGCGAGTTCTTCAATGGCCCTGGCAGTGAGATTACTAAAAGTGGGCTATCTCTTTCTAATTGGAAAAAAACAATAAAAAAGCAAATCCGTCAAGAATAGCAGTGGATTATCTTTCGCTTCTCAAATTTCCCCGTTGAGTCAAAGGTTGAGTGCCGGTCTCGCAATCTTTTGGAATACTACGATAAACAAATAAAAAATATTAAAAAAAATTACGGGATCGGCACGCATATTTTAAAAATTATCGACACACTCATGGCGCGCGTAATCGTAAAGAAAATCGTAAAGAAAATGTCAGTTTTGCAAAAAGGGTTACCGACAAAGCACTCTGCTTCACGTTAAGTCCAACAGTATAGCCGGTTCTATGATCCGGCAAGGCCAATCTGGCAGTGCTAAGAGCGTATCGTCATGGCGTTCGTCGTGCTTGTGCGCTCTTTCTATCACGGGCTAAACTAATCACTGAAAGCATAGCCTCCTTTATACTCACAAAGCCTGGCAATTCGACGACGCAGAGCCAGAGTGCCTGGTCGCAGATTTGGAGCGCGAGGATCTGGTAGCACAGAGCATCAAAAAGCCATTTCTCGGGGAACCTGGACGTCAGCGCACAGCTTTTGTAGCGGCGAGGACCTGAAACACACTTGTTCGCTCGGGAGACGTGTGTTTCGGCGTCTCGCCGCAGCGGGGCACCAGTCACGTGGCTCTCCTCTCATCCGTTGTCTGCCGCTCCACCTTTTCAATTTCGGCGGCCGCTTCTCGTGGCGATCTGCCACGCTTTGTCAGTATAGAGGAGGCTGTGCTCAAAGCGAAGCGGCTGTTATCTCGCGGTTCTTTTTTGTGTGCTTCGCATGGTTTAGACGGTGATAGGATAGCGAACGCCCAAACACGACGAGCGTCATGACAGCGCACTTTTGGCTTTGCTTCCCCAAAGCATTGTAGCGTAGGTAAGCTGCAGTCGGACTTTGTGTGGAACGGAATATGGCTTGGTTGTCACTGCCAGCATATAAAAAATAGCTGCCGACTAAGCTGGTTCCATTGCTTAATTGACAACGATGTAAATTATGTTGACTTTAATCCGCTCGCCTCCGCCTTTTACCTCGTGCTGGAGAATATTTCCTCGGAACCGAAAAATGCATGAATATTGTTTATGCGATATAAAGTGCCATGGTATTTAATATCGCGTTTTACATGGCATCTGGTGTTTTCTTTAAAATCAAGCGCCATCTTTCTTTTTATGTCCACAAGAACACATTATTTGTTTTCACAATCTGTTGGAAATCTCATAATTATGGCGTGAATTTTGTCACAATATTTGTTTTCTCAGTTTCGTGGAATAGTGCTTTCATAGAAAAAAATATGCATGCATCATCAAACCTGACATTCTAATGTTGAGGCATATTTAAGTATTACTGCGATAGTATGCAACTTCAAATAATTCCGCGATAATGAAGTCATGTTAACTGACAACGTGGCTACAATAAGTCTTGTCCTTATAAACAGCGCGCACGAAAGCCTAAATAATATTTCTCTTTTGGAAGCAGCTCACGCAGCCGACGCTGTGATGTTGGTTTTTATACGCATCAGTGACCTTACGAAAGCCGGTGCAATAAACCGCCGCCTCGGAAATCCCTTTTTCCTAACCGCTGCCAGTCACGGTCATTCAGGCCAGATGTAATTGGGCAGGAAACCATGCCAGGTGAGCTGGCGCACGCAAAGTAGCGCGCACTCGAGAAAACTCAACTCCCAGTCTGAAATTCGTGTAGTACAGGCCTCAACGAAGGCGCAAGATATCGAGAATCATTAAGATACATCTCACCACACCTCTCCCCTACACGCCAAGCTACGTAAGGGGTCGCAATTTGTCTCAAGAAAAACATCCCCTGGAGCACTAGACCCCATACCACTTTCCTACATCGCTCATATTTTATAAATATATCGTTAGAAACTCTTTGAAAAATAAAAGTTCAAAATTAAACTGGAACCGAAATCGAGTTCATTTTTGCCACGTGTATAGGGTAAGCAGAAAAAGCGCACACAAGTGTGGAATGAAATGCGGCCTTCGTTTATGAGCACAGGCCATATTATATATAGAAAATAGAAGAATATAACTGGTCGCAAGCGGTGACCAGCTGCGGAATCAGAACGCTGCGGAATATGTTGTCCCCAACTGCAGAGACGCAGCTGTGCAACACGTGGTGGTTCCGATTGAGCACATTTAAAATCAAAGCAAATTGTTGCTCAAGCGTAAATGCTTCAGAAATAAATTGGTGTAGCAGCAAAATATACCTCCGCTAATATTGTGTCAGTTTGCCAGTTTTGAGAAATTTTACATAGTACCTCATGAACACTCGCTCAACCTCTTGTTGTCTACGTGCTCGAACATTTCAGATACAGTCCATGTCCTAACATCAGTAACATGACGCACACAGGTATCAGCGAAACGGTCAGAGTGTTGTGCAGCAGTATAGTTCTCGTACCTTAACCGGGGCGTTGTCCAAGTCGTGGAAGGCGGCATGAAGAACATCGTTGCTCTTAAAATCCAACTTGAGCGTGATGTTCTTGGGCGTGCTGCACACCAGGCGAAGAAACTCCTTGAGACTCAGGTCCCAGGACTTGACCGGCGGATGCGCCATCACTGCGATGCCGTCGGCGTAGCTCACGTCGGCCTCCAGGTAAGGGTTCTGCTTGTCGTTCAGGGCCTTGTCCAGCTTCCAGCGGCTGTTGGTGGCGTGCGACCACACGACGGACGACATGTCCTGCGCCGCTCGCGCCGCAAGCGGCACGCAGAACGCCAGCAGCAACGCGATCCGCACAGGCGCGCCCATCGTTTCGACTCCCGGCCGACAAAACGGGTGCAAGACTCCGGCAAACCGGTTGGCTCCCTACTCCTCGCTGCAGGAAGCGATGCTGTCGTAGGCGTGTTTTCTCGCCGCACGCGACACAAGGCCAATATACCCCGTAACGTCTGGTCGTCCCGAGCGTCAGCGCTAAATTGCCGCGCTGTTCCTACTTTCTGCGACCCATATGGATGTCAATTGTCGACGAGCGGAGAGAAGAGGGGAAGCGCCGTAGAGTGGCGGAGGCGCCGGTCGGTCTCTCGGGAGCTCATCGCACATCCCGAGTTTTATCGTGATACAAACCGTAATACCCATGTACGATAGCCGCGCAATTTAGAACGAAGAGAGTCTGATAAGGGAGATCTCACACCAGTGCTGCACCGAGGCGCACCCAACATGTGCTCGCCACTTTCTCTTTTTTTTACTACGAAGCGCTCGTTATTCTGCCATTTCAGACAGATAAACGCGCTGCGAGGCTTTGGCGCCGTCGGGACCGGCGTTTCGTAAAGGGGGGGACCCTTGTAGATCTCTGGCCCGAGCTGTCATCGTCGCGAACGAAGCCAAGTGGTTCGGACGATTGGCGGGACGGGAGAACGGCCTTCTCTCTATGAACGAGGCGAGGCGACAGCGGGTGAAGGGGAGAGGAGGCGTGCATCCGGACATGACAGTCAGTGGGAGGAGGCCCGCTTGACGAGGAGCTGGAAGGATCGCAGGGGTGAAGCCAGGGGTTCCCTGCCGTCGCAGGCAAATAGACCGGAGCTGCTGTTGTCCGCCAAGACGCCACCCAGGAGGAGACGTCCGTCGGGGGACATGGGACGGCTGCGGCCCACGGCCACACCTCCGACGGACAGGCCGCGCCCGAGACTGTCCGCTTCCTGCAGCCATTCGTACGTGGTGCCCGGCGACTCCGCCAGGTACTCGAAGATCAGGGCAACCTGAAAAACATGCCATGTTTAAAAGATACCTTGCCGCTATCAATTGTATACCGTTTATTATTTAGGGGGTCTTGAGCTGCAAAATAAAGTTGTGTCAAAAATAGAAGCCGCACACGAGTAAGAATAGAGGATGAGCTGCGCCATCTTATTTGTCCTTGGTCAACTTGTGGAGATAAAAACAGGGCCACAAATGTACTCATTTGTTTTCTCACTGATACTCGTTTATTGAAAGGGTTTTAGATTTTGATAAAAAAATACGGCATATTATGTAGGCGTCGTTTTATTATAATATTTCTTTTTCCTCTAAGCGTTTCCCTATTCCGTCCTACGGAGTTTCCAACCCCGCTCGTTCTCTTCCTTTCTCACGAAGTCGCAAATCATCCCTTTGTACGTTGACATGATCATGTTTGAATATAGCATTTCAGTAGAGAAAGCAAAGAATTGCGGCACGATCACACAGCGTGATGCGTTAAGACAGCGCGGCAGCTGTGCTGCTTATTCGACGATATGACGATGACAATCGACTTACATTGCGCCGATTCTGCGTCATACAGTGATCTGATATTGAAATGACGTTGCGTTCATTTAGCATCGATACGTTGTTGATGTATGAATGATGTGAAGGTCGTGGTGTGTTTTCCCGCCAAATTTAGCAAGGAACCTAACTTAATTGATAGGTCACGTGACGTGAAGTTTCCGCTAAATTTAGCGGGAACCTGAATTTGCCCGTAGGCTCTGTAGCGTCAGGTCACGTGACGTCAATTTTATCGCTAAATTTAGCGGGAAAACTGAATTCGAGCATAGGTCACATAACGTAAATATTTCCGCAAAATATGGAACAGAACCTAAATTTGCCTGTAAGTTTCGCAACGTCCGGTCACGTGGCATCAGTTTTTCCGCCAAATATAGCAGGGATACTTAATTGGTGCATGGCAACCCCAAAAATAGAAAAAGGGCTCGTGAGCAATCTCGAAATCTTTGAAACCAGATAAAGGCAGCGTTAAAAGAGCTTCGCTTATTTTAGCATGACTAATGCAAATAGTGCAAATTCAAATCTGAGAGGGTGACGGATGGCATGCCGACAAATTACCTTTTTGCTAGTTTATCTCTTAAGCTTTTATTATTTCTCTGGTGAGCTTACATCTACTTGTTTTTTCATTATCCTGTTTGTTTGTTTGTTTGTTTGTTTGTTTGTTTGTTTTAAGTCTGGGGGTGCATCCGCAGTCGCGACTATAAACAGACCGATCTCACTACGCGTTCCACGCATGCGTGACTGTAGTTCACAGGGGACAGGCGCCAGTGCACGAGATGGCTCGTGCCGTTTCGTGCTTGGCTCGCGCAGAGCTCCAGAGGGGTTGCCGCACGTGCAGAAAGACTACAGTTCCCCTGATGCATGTCGGCAGTGGCGGCGTAATGAAACTAACTGGTGAGATCGGTCTATTATTTTTTATTAAGCAGGACAATAAGAAAAGAGTAGAGATAAGCTGTCCAGGGAAATAATAGAAGCATACGATAAGCAACCAAAAACACAAATGTATCAGCATGTCAACCGTCATCCTCTCAGATAAGACATTGCAGTATTTGACTTAATCATGTTAAAATAAAGAAAGCTCTTATAACACCGTCTTTATCTGGTTTCAAATACGGCAAGATTGCTCCCGAGTATTTTTTTTTTTTTTTCTGTTTTTCGTACTTCAGTTTGTTTTGTCATCGTATAAGTGTGTATACTATACTTGGTGAAAACAAACTAAACGATCAGTTGATAGCAAGGGCTGAGTCCCGTCTGTTCTTGATGGTTCTTGTCCAGTTGCGCTGTTTTTACCTCAAGACCCCGGCTTTCCTCACTCTCCCTTCTTATTCGGGTTTAATCGGTGACTAGATGCCCGAATGTAAATTTTAAAAAACTAGTCTGTACCATAAATATTGCGTATAGTCAAATCACACAGTAATAATGAACACGGATGGCTAGTTGGGCTGGTTGGTTTCGTATCATGGTGTAACACGCCAAAACAACAGGGACAAAAAACGAAGGAAGAACTAGACAGGACGCGGCGTAACTTTTAACTGAATTGTTTATTTGGATGACAGAATTAAAAAAAAAATATAAAAGCAGCCAAGTGTGCCTGCTTTTATATATATATATATTTTTTTTTTATATTCTGTCATCCAAATAAACAATTCAGTTGAAAGTTGCGCCGCCTCCTGTCTAGTTCTCCCTTCGTTTTTGTCCCTGTTGTTTTGGCGTATTACACCATAATAATGAAGATTCGGGATGAAAAGGCGCTTCACTTAGCATACAGGTACAATCGTTTTCCTTACTATTGTTTTAATAAATACCTGTGTACCGGACAGGCTCACTGCGCACTTTAGATATGTCTTACCGACTTCTACTTCCACTTTCAAAATTCGTAGTGCACTAATTCATCATCAATGTAAAGATAGGGATTTTTTTAATGACGTTCCGCAACGACGGTCGATCGTATTCTAGGAAGTGTGTGGACACTGGTTCCACAATTTGAGATTAAACACGTATCTTCATCGTGTGATAAACGGATGACCTTGACCTAGAACCCACGTCACTTGAATAGTCAGTTGGGAAACTGCCATAGGAGCCTGCTTTGAAAACGTGGCACCGATCCCTACTCGAGAACCGAACAAATGGCGATCGCAACGCAGCCATTTCTCCCGTAGCGGCCACTCCGGGCACTGCACAGCTGCACTTACTGGTTAAGGTCGAGTCGCGAAGGGGCTGGTGGCGCCATCTCGCAGGGCCCTCTCACCTTTACAAAGCAATTTTGTTTTGACTCATCGCTAAAGAGTAGCCCTTTTATCGTATTTAGTTTGGTCTTGGTAGACGCCAGCGGTCCATGTTTCAGGGGTGAGTTTCCCAACTGAGTGTTTTAGTACCGTTTCCTAGAACCATAAGCAAAAGAAAAGCGGCAGCCCGAACCTCATGAGCGTACCTGTCCACCCAACAGAACGCAGCCAGTGTGCACAACTTTGCAGAACGAGAACCGACTTTTGTAGAACGCTCTCCCCACTAGGGTCGGGACGCCATTTTCGAAGCCGCCGTAGACAGCCTCATCCGTGACATTGCATCGCTCGAAGCACTGCAGCCAGCGCTCGTTAGGAAACTGCGACGGCAGCTTGACGAGCAGCTCGTACTTGGGGAACAACCGCACCGATGCGTGGTCCAGCACGATAAGCCTAGGTGACTGGGAAGCGCGGATGACGCCAGCCAACAGGCTGTTGCCGTCGAAGCCCAAACTTCGGCCGTAGTAGAACAACTCTTCTCCAGGGGAAGTATCCGTGTGAACTGGGACGCGCACAGTATTTGCGGGCCACGGCTCACCAGCCTGGTGGGGCTTCCAGAAGAACGTCACCTTCAATAAATAAGGTGGAAAACGTTGTATTTAAGACATATAGATTCCAGTCCGGACGGCCTGTTGGACTAGATCATACGGACAAGTTCCTGAAGAGCAGGTAAATCGGAATGAACGAGTTTAAGAATGGTAGGTACGACAATATGAAAAGAACGAGTTCATCTTTCTTCTTTCCAGTCTCATGACTCCCGCAACCTTCCTTAAACCCTTAAACCTCAACCAGTCAAACAGTATATGGTTTGGCATCCGACCTTTTTGCTTCAGTCCTTGTTGGAACCATTTCTACCAAATTTATAGGTACGTCGAAAAGAGCGAGGTAGTCTGTTCCCTTTCATATTGTCACGGGTGAAAAGGTGCTCGACAAATATAAACTGAAAATGAAGGTTTAATCGTCGAACTTGTGCCAAACAAAATAAATAACGAGCGTGAGACAGCAGAACACCGGGCAGCGATTTGGCGGCGTAACAGCAAGCGAAGCAAGCGAGAGAGAGACTGACTCGACAAGGTCGTGGGCCGCTCCTTATCTAGTGTGCGTCGGTATCGCGAAAATTCGACCAAGAAGGTTCGAGCATCGAGCGTTCGGGGTAAGAATGAACAGGCACTTTCGAGAACAATAAACTAGGGGGAAATAATAAAAGTTACGCGCCGAGTAAAAATAAACGCGAATCTTCTAAAATACCATGACCGGGCGCTGCTTGCTCAGCCCTGCGTGCGGCAATATTGTTGCCCATAAACCCGTCCAATACTCGTTTTCCGCGCGTTGCCATTTTTCTCTACAAGGCTGCGGAACCCGTTCTGAGCGTGCGCATGCAGTAGCTCTCTTGCACGAAACAAGAGACGCCGCGCATGCGTCTGCAGTCTAGTGACTCAGCATCTTTCTCCTGGCTGATAAGCGCTGCATAGGTCTATAGTACATCGGTGCCTAGGGGCGAAGTAAGCCGTTCCTCTCACGAAACGATGGACGCAAGGAGTGGGGTAGGGGTAGCACCACTTAGAATAACCTAAGCCCGTGCGCTAGCATTTTTACGTCATCACGGTAAAATCAAAAGCAGCACAAATTAAACAAACGTGCTGCGTCTGCGTTCGGCCGATCTCGTATCCACTCAATGCGTTGAAGAATGCTCGGTGTCGTGCCCGAGCTCATTAGCTGAGTTGACGCAATCCAACTGTGATGGCATTAAGTAAACATATTGGGGACTGTTCACAGGCTTCGAATATCCAAAGTTGTGTTGGAAAGTGTAGGTCAAACACGAGACAAGTATGTGTGGGGGCTGGAGGGGCATTCTCCGCTCACCTTCGACGACAGTGCTAGGTAGTCGTAGTCGTCGGCGTAGACCGGAGGTACCCCTTTCCAGACGAAGACGCAGCGGCCCGCAGGGACCGCCACAATACATGGACCGCCATCGGAGTCCTGAGACCTGCCCAAGAAGGAGCGACGACGGTTGAAGAGGACTCCGGCCAGTACAGCTTCGGGGGGGAAGCGCTTCTCGATTGGAGGAGTTGATGCCACGGTCGTCCAGCTGGACCGTGCGGTTGTGTTGTTCGGCAGGCTTTCAGACGTGACTTGCGTCAATTTCGCCGCATTCTCCTCAAGGACACGGGCTGAGAAAGTAAATGTACCGAGGTTTAGTGTTTACGGAAACCAATTCTACGTTATCGTGCGGGTTCTCACTAATATCTAGAACAGCGGAATAAATAAAAATACTTCGCTGCCGTTTTGACGGCGAGCTAGTGAAGAGTTTTCAGAAATTCGCTGCAACAAGGGTGATGGAATTTTTCGATAATTTTAAGAAAGCTTATAACGGTTCGTCAAGAGTCACCGCTCGCTGAGACTTTGCTCCTTTAAAGGGGCAGTGCAACGATTTTAATGTTGAAAGAATTGCCAGTTTGCATTTTTTATATTGTTTATACAAGCCCAAGTGACCAAAAACGCGTCACCTTTACCGAAAAAACGGCTATTCTGCTGCGTAATCGCAAGGCAAAGAGGAATTATTTGCCGATCTGCAGCCGCCGGTGGCGGCTACGGGAACTAAAATGACGGCGTCTCTGGGGGATGCGCGGAAGTCAACAAACCCTGTCCCCCTCCGCTGCTACACTCGCCGTCAGCCCCGTGGCGAACCGTCCTTTGTGTTTATCGCTAGCCGCGACCTTCGACGAGGCTAATCCTTTGAAAGTCGACAATCGCGGAGGAAGCGGCTGGGGTCTCTGAAGAGAAGGCCCAAGGGGTGACCACGTGAACCCCCAGAGACGTCACTCGAAAGTCGGCGTGGAGAGTTGGGAGGCACTTTGACCTTCGATTTGGTTAATTTTTTTAAATAAGAACTAGCGGTCGCAAGAAAATGCGGCTTTCGGTTTTTCGTTCCATAGGTGACGCAGATTAATTTCCGCAGTTAATTGGACAAAGTCTGAAAATTGTTGCACTGCCCCTTTAAGACTTGGACTCAAAGAGGCTCATCATTCTCTCGGTGAAATTCTGGGTGTCATTGAGAAGCAACCAAGGGCATTTCTTCTTTCGTGTTCTTCCTACCAGCTGCTGGAACTTCGGATAAATTCGATCAGTGAGGTAGGGTCAACGCGTACTGTGCACAGGACCCGAGGCTGTGGACGTCTAAGACTGAGGAGTAGCTGTCACTTTCCTAATCGTTCGAAAACAAACCCTTGGAACGTTCGGAGCAATCTAATGCTTTGACCCAATAAGCACTGTAAGCAGCGGACAATAGAAAACAAAATCAGCTACAACATAAGAGACACAAAAACCTTCTGCCGAGCACGTTCACTGGCGGCCAAAGGCATGGCAAAAAAAAATAAAGGAAACACATGGGTTACCAATTGCAAATCGAGGTTGCTTAGACCGTGTTTTATTAATAACATCGGTGGATCCTTAGGGAATGCGCTAACATGACCCTTGGGACACGTCAGATACGTCCCCATTTGAGAAGCGCTAACGCTGAGCCCTTTACTTTTCTGCTTTGGCTTTCTCTTTTGGCTTTCGTTTTTGCTTCCTCTATTTTTGCTGCCTCTTTTTGGCTTTGTTACGCGGTCAGTGTTAGCGTTCCTAGAGGGGGAGGTATGTGGCGTTTCCCAAGGTTGATGCGAACGCATCCCTTAAAAATCTACAAGTGTATGTTCCTTTAATTTTTTTTCCCGGCGAAGCCGGCTTGCCAAGGCCGCTCCGCTTTAGCCTCAGTCGCACGCAGACACGCGTCGGCTTGCCGCTGTTTGCGACACATTTCGGCCAGCCAAGCTAGGCGCTGCTTTCGCTCCTGCCTCGTTCGGCCGCCTTGCACGCTTAACAGCGGCATCCTCTGCCTGACGCTCCTTTCGCCGTTCACCGGCCTTTCGCGCGCGCATTGGCTTCCGCCCTGTGACGTAGCCTTCATCTCGCCTTTGTCCGTCTTCTCATCTCTACTCGGAGCGCTTCTCTTTCCAGTGTTTTGTCCGCAGACAGACGGCGTCAGCTTTTCGCTGTCATGTAGGTACTAATGCTGCCACTTTAAAACAAACAAAACGGTAATTGAGACAAGACTAGAACCAAACTTAGTCATCCGTGCTCGCTATATTGAGGGCCGCAACCGGTTTACAGCGTAGTAAATCGGCATGCTTGCTAAATCATAATTGTATTGGCAAAAATAAAAATTAAAAAATCGTTGAATACTTTTTACTGTACAGCTTAAAGTTTTCTGGCTTCCGTCTTGTTCTGCGGAATGTAAGTATAGAATAGTCGAAGGCCGGGTGGAAATGTGCAAACCGGAAGATATTGCCCCTCTTATAAATCTTATTGAGAAACAGAGGAACTTACGGGCGACAGAGCTTATCACGATGGGCTTGCTGGTCCACTCGAAATGAATGAGGAAGAGAATGAGGATACCTAGTATGGTTGGTGCTACACAGAGACCGGCGAGTACGTTGGCCGTGGTATTTAGCAACCGGTTCCTGCAATCAAATCGAAATCAGAGGGCAAGAGGTTAAATATTGGCGAACTCCTTTATAATATTAAAATTGTAGCCTCGATTCGCGGTGTATATCAGACGCCGGCTTTTAGTGAATTGTACATGAGAAATTTTAAAGCTACTTAAAAATTAAAAAAAAAAAACTGAACACAGCTATTTTAATCTTTAGCTGGATTACGCTGGATTAAGCTGAAAGCACTTCAAACCACCAACTGTGTTGTTCTATACTGAATACTCTTTTCACTCACAAGCTGATTACACGTTAGTTTCAATATATTGGTTTTATTCGAAACCTGACTTACTTTCTCATAGGGACATTCTACAGAAGTTTAGTTGTTTTCTGGTTTGTCAGTCATTCCAGTCTTATGTTTTCGTCCTCTTTTCGCTTGTACCTGCTCTATTATACCCGTGTATCACTACAGCGACAGACAGAAACAAACGACAGCGGCAAGCCTCAAACCAGAGTCTTTCGCGATTTGAGAGACTTTGTAGAATAAAGGAGGCTATGCTCAAACAGGAGCATCATGCACTCGAGGGTATCTTTGGCAGACTTGCAATCGCTCGTGCTTACTCGACAAGCACTGAACGACTAAACGCCTGCCAAAGGTACCATCGCGAGCATCCTGCAGGGGTTTGAGGCTTGTCGCTGTCTTTTGTTTCTGTCTGTCGCTCTGGTGGGACGCGTGCATTATAAAGCCGAAATTCTCCTTGTTCCTAATATAAAAAGAAGCAGCTTGGTCACACCAAAAATCTATCTCTTCCTCTCTTTCTCTCTGGTTCGTTCTTTCTTTCTCCCTTTCTCTCTCTCTCTTTCTCTCTCTCCCCCTCCCTCTAGCTTCAGATTCTGACGAGACAGGTGTCCACACACAACTCCTTCCGTCCCAGTCGAAGGTCCAACTGCAGACTTTGATGAATCACCCCCTATTTCTTTGCCTAGAAATACGAGCTTAGCTATGAGCAATTGGCCTTTGATTGTACTTTATGTAAGAAAAATTGGGACCGGAACTATTTTTGTCTGAGCGGTATGCGAGTGAGGCAACGTCGGACGACTGCACATTTAGGAAGTGTTTTGACAAAGCAAACAGTTGCGCAAACTAAAGCTCATTATGTACACGGTGTTGTCTACACCGATGCTCTTTTATAACATTTCACGGCAGTGACGTACTTCTTTTGGGTGTAGCCTTGCGTAGAAATTACGGGTAAACATAATTCAAAATGGCAAGCAGTGAGCTCGTTAAAAAATGTAATGGTAAAATGTAAAAAAAAAAAATTTTGGGGGGACAAAAATTGAAATGTGTATTATTCTTTCGATTTCTCTATTGGTAGACAAACACAACATCATTATTGCGCTGCAATGATTAGCAACATTAAGTTAACAATACAATTATACCTAGTGGCGCAAATGTTCACCGTCTCAATAGCTCGTTTTCAAATGTCGAGCCAGGCACTTTGTCCTTGTCAGAAACTATCTTGCCCAATATCCAGGAAGCAGTACAAAACCCCCCCACCAAGGAAACGAAACCTTAGGCCCAGTGCTAGAGTCATGTTGCCGTGTGCAGTTAATTTCAGACGTGGCGTCGTTTAGAGGAGGATACCATTTCTTAGAATGGCTGAGGGGCCCGAGAGGGTCAGTGCCTGAAAGTCTGCGTTATGTAATACCAGAGGTCACACTAACGCACGCTACCTTTGCGAATTATCACTCGCATCGGCTGCCATTGTGATGGCCTTGCTGTTGACCGCCTACCTTCTACGGCACGCATTAAAAGTAGAAATGGCCAACGCTACTTTCATCAGTCAGTTTACAAGCTTCCTAGAATATCTGACAACTTTTTGTTGCGCTTCCGTTCGGTACGGTGCTCGCTAGACCATCAGCCCATCCACATGGAAAGAAGCAATAAAACCGATGAAAAGTTTGATGCACATTGCCTGTGGTGGCAGGTGATTCCATGGTTGTTTTAAATGGAAGCTGGGGTGTTTTTTAATCTTTTTCTTTTTATCCCATTTCAAGCCTCACGAATATCGCAGGAATGGGCCTATTTCATGCCCGTATTACATAAAAAGACGCCTTCGAAGTTGCGTTAAAACCACGCCCCCCGCGGCAGCGGAAGAGGGCAGCAAAAAGAGAAGGGAAAACATGACGTCACGAAAGGACCCCTCGCGCGTGCTCTTCGGCTCGCAGAGCCAGCGTGGTACGTCGTCCATACTCGATGCGATGATTTGTGATTTGTGCTTCTGAAAGATGCCTGCTGAATGTAGGAAGATACACGACAGTAGAGAGACAGAAAAGAGGATAAAAACGCTCCTAGAGTAGCAACCATTTACTAAAGATAAATCTTTTCTTCCATACCTATTAGTTTTATTCTCGGATCTAATGGGTGTGGAGGAAAAAGAGGTATATCTTTAGTAAACTGTTGCTTGTCTAGGAGCAGACATGTGCGTAACGCGTTACGTACAACGAGTTACTTCGCTTTTGTTTTCGGTAAGGATTATAGGTAATTCTTTTTAGAAAAAGAACGAGTAACGTACTTAGTTATTTTTAAGGCCAAGTAACGAGCAAGGGTATTTCGTTACTTTTGAGGAGCAACGTCTACAGTAACGTGTACAACAACGTTTAAACAGACTCGTTTTAATTCTAATCTGAGTATCCGTCCATTCGACAAAGGCAGAAGGGGAACTCGAAAAACAGCACTGGGACAGTATAGCACCGTTTATCGCTGAACGTGTCGGTGGAACTCTGCAGCCATGGGAATGTCCTTTACCCAGCGAACACAAGAAGGTCATTTGGTTTAAACCTTCTAGAATCGTGTACAAACAGAATGTAAACCCGGAGGCTGCCAACGCGGGAAGGCGCAGAACTAAATATCAACTTAGAAATTTAGAAGCAGAGAGAACAAGAGAGGGGAGAGTCCCAGATTCCCCAGCTCTTCCTGAAGCACAACACTGCCGTTCCTTCGAGCGTGCCAGTAGAACGACTCTTCAGCGTCGCCGGAGTTGTATTTTCAATAAGCGGGGAAACATAACAAATGAAAACTTCGAGAGGCAGTTACAGCTTAAATGCAACGGCTGCTGAAAACAAGAAACCAAGAAACAAAAGCAGCGGTGTATTTGTTCGTCAAAATAACGATAGAAGTAACTCGCTACCCTTGGGGTAAGGTAACGCGCTCCTTTTGAGAATCGGTAGCGAGTAACATATTTAGTTGCGTTAGGGTCGACTTTCATTTTCCCAGTGGCCGTGCGCGCGCAATCCACGGTCGTGTCTCTTATTCTATGTTGCATATAGGAAATTAAAAAAAAAAAAAAAGCGGAGCGGGCATTCCGAGACGACTTTGTGTTGTTTTTGTTCACTCCATTCATAATCTTGTTTTATACTAACGGTCTTTTCCACTTTATTCACTTCCAAATGGTTTAGCCTTCTGCTCCCCTCCCTATCATTATAAGGGACCCGTCTGTTCATGGGTGTCTCCCTCTCCTGTTAGCTGAGAAAGGGGAATAAGAGAGCTCTTAAAAGGAAGAAGTAAAAGAGAACGTCAGAAGAAAAAGAAGGATGGTTGGATGGTAATTAACCTTTATCGCTTAAACAAGAGGCTGTCATGAGTAACGAACGGCGGGTGCTACCGTGGCCCGGCTATGAAGTGCACTTTGACCTTATCGAATATAGTGGCGATAACTTCACTGCTCGCTGCAAATACTGCATAAATGTAGAGGCAGCCGGGAGGTCCCCTTTCTTTAAACTTCGTAAGCACCTCAGGAAGACGGAACGACAGAAAGCTGAAACCTCGACAGTGCTTTCCAGTCTCGACTTTACCACCATTAGGGAAGTTTTCTTTACGCCTTATTACTCCGTCCAGCCCACCCGCTCAAGGGTTATATTTAGCACCATAAGGGGAGAGTTAAGTGATATTTGAAAAGCAGTTGCTGATGTGTTGCAACATTAACTAAATAATGTATTATTTAGTCCACATTGTATCGAAGCAGCCAACGCTTTGATTCAAGAAAGTTGTGCTACGGTAATAATAATATATGTATATATATATATATATATATATATATATATATATATATATATATATATATATATATTGAAATATAACTATAAAGACATTGATCACAACACACATTGACTATGATTTATAGTTATATATATATATATATATATATATATATATATAATTATAAATCATAGCCAATGTGTGTTGTGATCAATGTCTTTATAGTTACATTTCAAAATAAAAAACACGAAAGCGTATTAAGTAACTAAAATACTATGACAAAGGAAATTAAACTATGACACCTTAATTTGATTTTCGAAGTAACTTTAATTTAAATACATTTTTGACACACTAGCTGTAACTGTAACTAATCACTTTTTAAAAGTAACTTAGCCATGACTGCTTAAACCCCGAACGCGCATCCCACATTCGCAATGTCGCCTTATGTCTCAGGAAATTTTTCTCATCAAGGTCACTTTTTCTGGCTCAGTAAGCACACTCAGCACCTTGGAACTCCCCTTTTCCACTGAAAGTACTTGAAAGTTCAAGTACTTTCAGCCTCATCCAGAAAAAAAAAAAAAAAAAAACATATACCTGCACCGCGCTACGCGAGTCTTTCATGGTCATCTCAGCGCAATCTTGCTTCGCAAATTAATCACAGTGGGAATATGCGGCAGTGGCGGCGACGCCGCCTTTGCCGCTCCACCCTGGCTTCCGCTGGCTCCTCCCATTGACCAGACTCTCCCTATACGCGGCTCTGTATCCGACCGTATAAATGTAGAAGAAAAGAAGGTCCGTTCTCGAACGACAGTTTTCGATGAAGCTTCTCATCCGATAGATCTAGGAACGTTGGAAATGACCGCCAAAATAATGCGATGCAGGTTGTAGGAGCGGGTCGCCTGGTCCAACGCTTTGGATCCCTAGGTTGCCCAAAACGTTTAAGCGCATATTCTAGCGCGTTGTTCACGGCTTATACTCAAATTGAGCTTCAAATTACTGTCTGCCACAAAACACAATCTAGATGGTATGGAACGTACACAGCGCAACACCGTTAACGCAAACAAGCGATCGCGGGATTTTTTTTATTTATTTATTTAAAATATACAATTGCCATAAAACCTACTAGTGTGACGAAAAGCTCCCGTTCAGGGCAGGAACCTAAGCGTTAAAGTTTGCCGTCCGTCAGCGCTCTGCATGAGTAAAATGAAAAAAGCGCGGATGCCGCGCTCGTGCCAACAGCACGCGCAGTGTACAGACCTGCAAAAGGTAACTGCACCAACCCCAAAGTCTCTCGCCACCCTTCTCGTTTTTTTAAGATATA